TGTATTCAGGTTTAAGTCCCCACCAGAATAGAAAAACAGGTACACACACACACACACACACACACACACACACACAACTATGCTCATCTTGTACAGTTACACACAAAAATAGTGAATATAATTTATTTTAAAAAATATGTATTGATAAGAATATCACTTATATGGTATAATTACATTAAAATAATTCATTTAAAATATTTAATTAAATACAACACACAATCACAATCAATTGTCACTTATATTGCTTATCTTATACATTTACAGGAAAAAATATAATTTGTTCTAAGGATTGTTTAAAATATATTTTATATTTATACATTTTTTTATTTAATATTTAATTTTATTTATTTTTCAAATATAAATGTATAAAGGAAAGCATATATTAAATGTTTATTTTATTTTGTATAGCAGTCAGTATAAATCTATTTGTGGTGTCATACTGCCATCTACTGGAGCAACTGTGAGCTGCAGCATTTCACTTCAAACGTTTAGACCGATTTATTACAGAAAATTAAAAACTGACAAGAGTTGGAAAAAACAACAACAGAAGTCGTCTTCTAGCATGAGATTTCAGATTATTTGAGATTTCAGACTCGTTTATTTCAATTAAAGTGTATAATTACGTTCAACAGTCTGTCAAAGGATGGAGAATAAGTGTGATAAAGTTGTTTTTTGGCATATAAATTTTAATGAGCTTTCTTGACTGACACTGGCACTAAGTGACCTCGGGAGAGAAAGCGTGTGTGTGTGTCCTCGGCTCCTCTGGCCACGAAGGTCTGCAGCAGTGACGCACAAACACAGTGCGACCTGAATTACTGATCACACACACACAAATTGAACACAATCATATTTTAACTTCCAGGAATGTGAGGATAGATTAGGAATGCACCACACACACACACACACACACACACACACACACACACACAAAGTAATGATTTTAAATCAACGCTCCATCCGCTCACACACAGACTCACGTCAAGATTTACTACAGCAATTACAGCAACCTAATTACACGCGCACACACACGAGTGCAATAAGTGAAACTGGTCTATGACTCAGTCAATCTGTCCCTCCTTCACAGCTCAGAGCTCCAGGGAGCAGGACACACACACACACACACGCTGGATGTTGTGAAGTTAATAAGATGCTGAGGTGACTGCGCACAAATATGAAGGTCACACACACACACAAGGAACAAAACACATCGATCTACATCTGTGCAAACACAAACACACATTTCAATAAACAATTAAACACACACTCAAGGACCTCAATAACACACAGATCTATCTAACAGGATTTAGTTTGGTCAGTGTGGATGCAGCAGATACGCGAGATACGCAAATGTGTGTGTGTGTGTTAATAGATCAGTGTGTATTTCCAACATGTAATTACAAACACTGATGGCTCTTAAACAACAGCTGCTACAACTTGCACTTCATCAATGTCACTGTGTGTGTGAAATGAACAATCTAGTGTGATGCTTGAGAAACACTGCCCTCTAATGACAGAGACAGGGAAAGAGAGAGTAATTAAATAATAATAAAAAATCTAAATAAAGCACTTACTAAATATTTTACTACTATATGAAGCAAATGATCTGTTTATCTGCCTGCCATGTGACCAACATCAGAGAATCATCAGACTGGTTCAATTATGAAATATTTTCATTTGAAATATGAATTGGAAATATACAATATTAATTTAAGTAACTTAATATTAACTTAAATTACTAATATTAAATTTTGAAATCTCTGCATTAAATAAACGTTTTGGGTCCAAAATCTGTTCAAAGCTGAATGTTCAGTATCATTACTCCAGTCTTCAGTGTCACATGATCCTTCAGAAATCATTCTAATATGCTGATTTGCTGCTCAAGAAACATTTCTGATTATTATCAGTGCTGAAAACTGTTTTGCTGCTTCATATTTTTTGAAAACTGCGGTACATTTTATTTTTCAGGATTCTTTGATTAACAGAAAGTTCAAAAGAACAACATTTATTTGAAATAGAAATCTTTAAAAATATTATTAATGTCTTTACTGTCACTTTTGATAAATGTAATGCATCCTTGATTAATACAAGTTTCTTTAAAAAAAATCTAACGGACCTCAAACATTTGAACGGCAGTGTGTGTGTGTTTGTGTGTGTGTGTGTGTGTGTGTATATATATATATATATACACACACACACACTGCCGTTTGAGGTCCGTAAGATTTTTTTAAAATAAATGTTATTAATATATATATATACATATATTAAACTTGCATTGACATCAGAACATTTTTGTCAACAGCAGATGAAACCGATGAACTCACACACACATTGGCCAACAGATATCAAACACCACACACACACATGGATCATCTTCAAACTCTGTATTTGTGTTTGTTCTTGTGAAGACACACCATCTCTCATTCTCTGCTGTGGGCGAGACTTCAGGCATCTGATCCAAGCAGCAAAACCAGACAGAAATGCCAACAAACAAAAACACACACACACACACAAACACAAGAGACCAGCTCAGGGTCTGCCCTACAGAAACACAACGTGATTTCTTCTCTCTCTCTCTCTCACACACACACACATCCAATGTCACTTCAAGGAGACTGTAAGTGTGTGTGCAGAGCAGGATGCAAGATTTTCAGTCTGAGCTCACAAAAAATGTCTGTCTTAAAGAGACAGTCACCTAAAAATTTAAATTCAGTCATCATTTACTCACCCTCATGACTTGTATGAGTTTCGTTTTTCAGAAAACACTAAATAAGATATTTATTGGAACATTAATGCTGCTCTTTTCCATATAACAATTGGAAATAAATCGGTCAAACTGAAAGTGATGACAGAATTTTTACTTTTGGGTGAACTGTCTCTTTAAATAATCACGTCACTGTGTGCATGTTTTTTTATGCCTCATAGTCACACACAGTCTCTTTTTGTGATGTTCTCCCTCTGAGACACACTTACACACACTCACACACACAGCCGGCAGGCCGTCAGCACTCTCCTAAGGGTCTCGCTATAATGGTTTGACCTCTTTCTGTACTGGAGTTCACAGTGGACCATCCAATTAAACATACCAGCGCCGGAGATACTCACACAACCTTCAAAAGTACATTATCTCTTATTCTGTCTTTCTCAGTCCACCCTCGAGGGATCTGGCCTCCTTCACTGGCCATAAAGGATAAGAACATCACTATTCTACTAGAGAGAAAGAAAGAACGAGCGGTTCTTGAGCCAAACTGACAGTCACACACATCAGCTGTATCATATGACGGATTAAAAGGGTTGTTCAGCCAAAAACGTAAATGATGTTGTTTATTCACTCTCATGTCGTTTCAGTTCTATTTGACTTTCTTTCTTGTGTGGAACACAAAATATTTTTTTTATATAATATCCTGTGATTTAAAAAAAAAAAAATTTATATGGACTACTTTTCTTGTTTATAAGATATTCCTTAAAAATTATTAATTTTCTTTTTTTATGTAAAACAGACATACAGTACTGTTCAAAAGTTTAGGGCCGACAAGACTTTTTAAATATATTTTTTAAGAAGTCTTGTGTTCACCAAGGCTGCAATCATTTGCTTAGAAACACATTAAAAATCATAATACCGTGAAATATTATTGCTATTTAAAATCATGTTTTTCTATTTTATTATAAATTAAACTCTAATTTATTCCTGTGGACTTTTGCATTACTCCAGTCATCAGTGTCACATGATCCTTCAGAAATCATTCTAATATGCTGATTTGCTGCTCAAGAAACATGATTATGATTATCAATGTTGAAAACAGTTGTGCTGCTTCATATTTTTTTGTGTGGAAAACGTGCAACATTTTAGTTTTTCAGGATTCTTTGATAAATAGAAAGTTCAAAAGAACAGCATTCATTTGAAACAGAAATATTTAGAATGTCTTTACTGCCATATTTGATAAATTTAATACATCCTTGCTGAATAAAAGTGTTAATTTCTTAAAAAAAGGAAACTTTTGAAAGGTAGTGATGATAAATCAATTAGAGTAATGTATAACAGTAATGATGTTTGCTTTAAAAAAAACATCAATGGCATAACTAATAATAGCACATCACTAACTAATAATTAGTAATTAAATGGTACATTCTTGTAGCTGAAACAGGAAGAATAACAAGATCGTGGGTTTGATAAACTCTATACCTTTAATGCAGTGTAAGCCAAATGCACAAAGACAACGGAGGTAACCTCATCAGCAGAAACATGGGAACTGTGTGTGTGCGCGCGTGAAATACCCTGAAATACCTCTTTTGCACAATATCATGTACAGTATTTTTGTAAAAGTACTTGTATAGTTTGTCTTATATTATGTATATATAGTCAAATATTTATAGTATATGTACAGTTAGATTACTGCTCTCAGTAGGTTAGCTATATATACAGTAGGTTCATATTTGTTTCTTACTTCTATTGTAGTATGCTTATATTTATATAAGTATGTAGCATCTTGGTCCTGCGAGGCACGACATTTCATTCCACTGTGTCTACACATGTAGAGGAATGACAATAAAGCTCAACTTGACTTGACTTGTGTGTGTGTGTGTGTGTGTGTGTGTGTGTGTATGACAGCTGTAGGTTTATTTTCGCCCCTGTCGACTCATCTGAGCGGAAAACAAACCCACCATGATTTCTGACCAGGCCAAGCCAGGGGTGTGTAGAAAACTTCATGCATGCATGCATAAAGTACACATGTTCAAACACACACACGTGCCTCTAGAAGCACTGGAAAGACACAGACAATTATTACATGAACGTTACTGACGTTTAACCAAACGCACATCCGCACATCTGAGCAACTGTCAATCAAATACTCTAAAACATCAGCAGAAACGCTCGCTGGGGTCCTGCTCATGTATGTGTGTGCAAACTGGTTTAGGACTGGTTAATCTGCTCAATATAGCTCAGGTTAAAAGACAGACAGATCTTATATTACTAAGATCTACAGGGAGATCAATGATCGAAGTAAAACACACCAGCTGCTCGCTCTCACACACACACAAAGCAAATGTGAGATCCTCTTTCCAAGGATAAGCAACTTACAAATACACTTACAAACACGGACACATATATTACAAGAAACGTTGGCAAAAACAATGTCAATAACTAATACATATATATTAAAAATTAATAAACAAATAAGGTTATTTATTTATTTTTTACATTTAATAATAATAATAATAATAATAATAATAATAATAGTAACGCTGGTTTGGTTGGTTGGTGTTTTAATGCCATGCCAGGTTCCTTGGCTATTTTCATGATGAGTAAGAAGTGAAAAGAGTATAAAAGAAAAAAATAAATAAAACATAAGAAATTGCTCTAGATAAAAATGCTAAAATGGATTCAGGGTTGACTCTGTTAAAAAAAAATTACTTGAGTGTTTGCAGTTTGATAATGGTGAAGATTTTGCATTTATTTTAATGTGTGTGCATGTGTGTGTGCAAGCATGCTTATTTAGTATTAATATAATAGTTTAAACATTTCATTTCTGTGTGTGTGTGTCTCTGTGAGCGTATTCTCCATCATGGATGTGTTTTAGTGTCAGCCATCAACCAAAACTGGCCCGCCAGTAATAATATGTGGCCCGCGCCCGCAGCCAGATTATTTTGATAGTAGCTGGTTCTGAAATAGATCTGTCATGACAGCAAATCTGCCCGCGCCCGCAGCCAGATTATTTTGATAGCGGCTGGTTCTGAAATAGATCTGTCATGACAGCAACAGTTACTCACAATCAGAGTATGTGAGCGGAGCGGTGTGATTTTGACTGGAACGAGAAGCGGATTTTTTAAAAAGTCGGAGTGTGGTTTTCACTCGCTCCAAGAGCGATCCACCACCGCTCCATCACGAGAACAATTCATGCCAACAGCCCGTAATATAACTGCATATTTAGCAAGAATTCACATGTTAAAACATATTTAGCTAGCTTGATAGAGAAGGATCACTCAAACCAGAAAGAATGTGAAGCTATGATGACGGCAATGGACATGAGCGGGAAGTTATAGTTCTCAAGGAATATGTTTGTTCCTTCTAGATACTGAATATTTTAAGCTGAAAGCATGATTTAAACAAGTACTACAACACTTATTCACACGCAATCGCTCTCTCAATAATACATTCATACAAATGTAATTGTACAGTGCTACTTCATCTGTATCCGATTTCGGTGATATTTCAAACATACTGAAATACTTTAGCCGCAGAGCGGTGTTGCGAGGAGTGGAGCGGGAAATTGTTGCCGCTCTACTCCGCTCACATACTCTGCCGGACAACGCCACACAAATGTGGCTTTTTGTTAATGACTGTCCTACTACAGGATTTAAC